TTATTAATATTATATGAATCATATAACAAAAATAGAAAAAAAAGAAATGTATACATATTTTTTTTTTTTATGTAAAACAAATACTAATAAGTAATATGCATTATGACAAATATCATCTTCTTCTTTCTCGCCTTAATCCCAACTACGTGGGGTCGGCCACTCTTATTCTAAACTTCCACTTGACACGATCCCACATCATCTACGCTCACATCAGCTGTCCTCAAATCGCATTCAATAGCATCCCTTCAACTCTTTTTGGTCTTCCTCTACGTCTTCTTCCTTCAACATTCATTTCTATAACTGTTCTTACAGCTTCCGATTCTTCTCTCCTCATAACATTACTAAACCATCTAAGTCTATTTTCTCTCATCTTATCTACGATGGACGCTAGACCTATACTCTCTCTTATATGCTCGTTTCTTACCCTATTTTCTCTAGTCACTTCACATAATATTAAAAAAATAAAGAAAATCGTATTACTGATAATTATATATTTGTAACTGTAATTTTATTACTAGCTAAATAAATTTATATATTCTCTATTCATCTTCCTCTCTCTCTACAAGGATATTCTTTTTACGCTAACTACCAATTTCTCTTAAAATATTAAGTCTTTTTAAACATTTTTATTTTTGTTAGTTACATATGTATTTCTATTTATCTGTTACGATTTATGATTTATCTCATAGTTTCGTGAACTGCTTGTCAAGCATAAAGCAACGTTATTGAAAAACTCGTTTGTTCAGGCGACATATAGTCCGTTCTCGACGCCGTAATGACCCTAAATTTGAAAAACAAGTAAAGAACACATCGGAATTTTATTCGAAATTTTCAAATAATATTTTACGGTGTTGTTTTCTGATATTAGTTATATTTATATGTAATAAAACTCTTGAGTGTAAAAGAGTATTATTTGTAATGTTTATTGGTTTGTCAATACGAAGGATTGATTGGTCTCTAGAGTTACGGCAGTCACATAAATTCTTTCCAGACGTGCTCTTTGATGTAATGAAATGGAAAATTATGCACAGTATTGAGAATTCATTGTTTGGTTTATTATTAACAGATGTTAAAATGTGTCGTAACTATAAATATTATATATAATAAAAAAACAAATTGAATTATCTGAAAGATTAAAAAACAATTTTTTTACGTATACGTTCGACAGCATCTTTAGTCTATCGTATTCAACGATATTTTACACTCCTATAATAATTATTCTCTTGATTTTATTTCTATATTTTAATTTTTGGAAATCATCAACCCATCACGACATTCAGATCATCGAGATGGACTGACATGAAACAATTGTCGTGTCATTTGACAAAAGTCAAATATGTTTATTAGAGTGTTGATGTTTATTTTCGAACTTTCAAANGTCCTTATTTATAGGAGAGAAAATTTTTTATAAATATTTTTGATTTCTCACCCCATTCCCACCTCAATTGGTTCATTATTATAAAAAAGTAATTTGAGTAAAATTTGGCCATGATTAATCAACCCCATTCAAGTGCCCCCAAGAGGGTGAAAATTGATAACAAGTCGTTTTCTGAAGTATTTTTGCTTATTGATAGAAAATTATTGCACTAATCGTAAAAATGAATAGAATTTAAAATGTAGCTATTAACATTTCCAATAAAAAGTATTATTATTACACTTTACTTGCATTAAAATCGTTAAATTTGATCGCTCAATCATTTTACAAGTAAACCAGGGTATATTATCAACCGTCATTCTAAAATATTTTAATACAAGTAAAATGTAATAATAATACTTTTTATTGGAAATGTTAATAGCTACATTTTTACGATTAGTGCAATAATTTTCTATCAATAAGCAAAAATACTTCAGAAAACGTCTTGTTATCAATTTTAACCCTCTTGGGGGCACTTGAATGGGGTTGATTAATCATGGCCAAATTTTACTCAAATTACTTTTTTATAATAATGAACCAATTGAGGTGGGAATGGGGTGAGAAATCAAAAATATTTATAAAAAATTTTCTCTCCTATAAATAAGGACCACCCTAATGTTTATGTATATATTATTTATTCCAATTGAATAGGTCATTTCAAAAACGACATAAGTTATCAATTTTTCAAATAATGACTTTTTATCAAATTTGATAATTATATACCTGGTTACGTATTCTGTGTAAAAACTACATTTGTCAGATTCATATTTAATACAAAATATACTACAAGAAACTAGAATCACTGCAAGAACTACACAAGTCATTGACTTGTCATTCATAGATCGCACTTTTTTGCAAAACTTACCTCTACCAAAACATACTAGTACAAGACTTTTTTTATTTAAGGCAATTATGGGTGAATTGTTTTGAGATTATAAATTTGAAAACTGAAGAATCTATATTTTACATATACCATGAGGGTGAAGCTTAAAAGGGGTCCAACGATGTGTACTCTATGTTACTGGATTATATAAATAATAATATTAATTCAGATATAAAAGAATTATACTTGTTTTGTGATGATTGTCTGGACCAAAATAAAAATAATACCATTATACGATTTTTGCTAACATTGACAGATAGTCAACGATTTGAAAGGATTTACTATTTTTTCCCACTAAAAGGTCATGTATTTTTACCTAACGATCGGGATTTTGAGGTTATAAAAACCAAGCACAGAGGGTCGATGNCTAACGATCGGGATTTTGAGGTTATAAAAACCAAGCACAGGGGGTCGATGCACAGTGGTGACGTAGCATAGTTGGATCAAGTATAATGATATCTGACAGTGATTAAAATCACTATAAAAAAAACGCTTCGATGCAAATCTTTAGATATTGTCTAATTTAAAAAAAACGGTGGATTATTCCAGAAGCTACATGATCTGCTAGTTTCTTATTAATATCCTGATTAAGATAAAGTATGTCGAATGAAAAAGGGATTATTAAAAAATATTATTTCTCATAAAAAAATTGTGTTGATCCATACACTTGTCATAGCATAATAAAGTTAAAAATGAAAAAAAAAAATCGAGAATTATCACACAAAAATAGTATTGGATAACTATTTTCAACGTGAAGATAAAATAAAGTCCGAAATTTTTTTTTTTGTAATAATGTATATTATATTAGCTTTAATTTAAGATCTATATAAAAGTGTTAGACTTTTCGGTACACTTTCAAAAGTTAAGTTGAAAATGTTCAACTTTCTATATGCAATTTTTAGATTTGAACCCCCTCGTATATAGGAAAATGGTCCGATTTAAAATTCGGTAACCATTTTCACCGTGAAGATAAAATAAAGTCCGAAATTTTTTTTTCCCGTAATAACGTATATTACATTAGTTTTAACTTATGGTATACATAAAAGTGTTAGACTTTCGGAAGATTTTCAAAAGTCAAGTTGAAAAAGTTGTTATTTTAAATCCCCTCTGTAGGCAGGTTTAGGGTCAGATTTATAAAAAAAATATACTAAATGATAGGTTAAAACATTATGCATCTATTAAAAAAAAAAAAAATTTGATTTGTTCATTTTTTAAAAAGTTATTTCATTGTTCAGTAAAAAAAATTGTTAAAATTTCGAAAATTAGTGATTTTTAAATTAGTTATTTTTTTGGAGATTTCTCCCATTTACGGGGAACGAGGGAAATTTTTTCCATTTTTGAGGGTAATGTCTTTGACTAGATACGATTTGTGATCTTTTGACGTATCATTGAAAGAAATCGGTTTGGTGTGATCTGATAAAAAGTGGTAACAGAAACAAAAAAAAAAAAAAA